GACTTGTGTGACTGTTGATGACAAAGATTAAAAGGGACCTATAGTGCAAAAGATACTTTTTTGGATGTTTTTTGTAGTTTCCATTTAGGGTTTTACTGCTTACACAGTTCAAGGACTTACAAAAACCACCCAGCTCTGTTTTACTGGCAGTAATTTAATGTTTCTTGGTGTCTGGAAAACGAGGCATTTCGAAAACCTCCAGATTATTAAGTCAGAGTCAGCTGTCACTGTTCCGTTAATTAGCACCCCAAGCCCACTGGCTGCTGGAAAAGACACATTTAAGTGTAAATGAGCTGTTGGGGGGACGTTGGCAGCAGCCACTTTTTTTACTCTCATTGATTTTGCTTATATCTGGGAGAAGTGCATTTCTGCAGATGGCGGTAGTGGTACTGGAAGAGGTGTAGGAACTTTATTTTTTTAACCTCAAGTTATCTGTCAAAAACCCCCAAAAACTAGTGACAACCAGTTGGCTTGGAAAGCTTTTGGCCCTTAACACTATTTTGAAATAATTATATTTAATCGATTTATACTGGTTATTTTTTGTCCACCTTATTAAAAAAAATATATGACCAAAAAGAGAAACAAAAGTCTGCAAGGGAACACACATTTGTACAATGCAACAGTATTTAACACGCACTTGCCTAAAGACGCTTCTCTGTAACTAGTGAATTGGATTATGAGCAGCATAAATGGTCAAGTCAAATCTCTGTAAACAATGAGCTATAGTCAAGAGGCTTGATAATGTATTTAGTCAAACATGCCGAGTACCTTGAAGTGCTGTGACTAAATGTGAATTATTTCCGAGTAGGAGGCTTCCACAATAATATAATCCTGATCTGCTTTGCTTCTCAGATAAGAAAGCCAAATGTATCTGGAACTCGCTGTGTAGATGAGACGCAGTATTGTTCAGCGAATATGTGTTGCTGATATTTAGCCTTTTCCCAAAGATGGCTGGATAGATGAGTCTTAAACGCGTCCTCGGTCACAGCTACTTACTTCTCATCAGCAGAAGTAAAGATAATTGCTCAGTCAGGGTTGCAGTGGCCAGTTGATTAGCATGCCATGCTCAGCCGTGTCCTACAGCAGGAGGCTACAATGTTAGATTAAACGCTGGCCAGATCCTCATCAGGAGGAAAAAAAAGAAAATCAATGGTGGTTGTTAAGGGTGAGTAGTGTCCAACGACAAAGGTGGTGGTGTGTGGGGGCGGGGGGATTGGAGGATTGTAGAGTCACTTTACACGGTGTGTCCTGGGCTGTTTGCACTGTGGCGCCTGGGTGTATTGAACTGGATAGGAAGCCTGAGCTGAGATTAGTGGAGGAATGGTCACTGTAGGTCTCCAACTTGGACTTTCTTTAGCAAAAATGCGTCACAGTGAAGCTCAGACAGGCTTTTACACAAGCGTTCAGATTTGTGTGTTTAATTTAAACTTCAATTATATGGCTAACGTGTGCAGCTTGTATTTGATGTGAGATTTTATGCTGTCCTTTGTAAAGTGATGACTGTAGAAGATGCAGAAAAACCACCGTTTCCAAAGCGCCCGCCCACAAACCTGAATGCGAAGTAGGATCCAGTCACTGTGGGTTGTCTGATACCAGCCAGTACAGTTGAATGAGAGATGATGTCAATAAGAAACCCGGTGGTGACCTCCTGCAAAGCTGACTTTAACATTCTGAGTAAAGAGTTACCTTGACCTGCTACATCTAACATATGTATATATTAGCAGGAAAAAAAGGCACCTAATAATGTTACTCTGCTAAAATCTGTTCCAATTACCTCCAAAGTGCTGGTTTGCGGCCATTATTGGCTCCAGTGAAAGTTAATGCCAGATGAGTCCCCCCAGACCACACTGAGCTGAATGACATTTATGGTCTGGCGTTTGTGAGGACAGGCTCCCACTGCTGCAGTGTTTTGAACGCATAAGTCATTTGCACTTGCTGCACTGGCGCTGCCTGTCATAATGTTGTGTCATTTCAGCAATTAGAGGCAACTGGTAAGTACTAATTAACTGGTGCTACCTAAATAAAAGTTAAAAGCCAAATATTAACAAAAAGAGTTTAGGTTAAGATTTTACGGGGTATTCCTTTATACCTGACCTGATATTTTTCCAGGCACTGTGATGCCCCATCTCCACTTGTAAAATAACATTCTGGTGCAACTGGAAATATTTTCTGGTCACAAAGACCACAGGCAGTGATGAAGTGGAAAGATTGAGACCAATCACTCTTACAAAGCTGGAGTTGACTCAACATGTATAACTAAACAGCCAAAAGCAGTTTGAAATCCTTCAGTTGTTCTAAAATCAAACATGACTTAAAAATTTACAATGTTGTTATATGATGCTTTTAAATTGGCCTCTGTCTCTTTAAGATATTCTTGCTCTTCCCGACACTCCAAGATGAGCAGGTCACCCAAGTTTTCCCCCAGAAAACTTGGAAAGCCTGGTGGTTGAGTAGAGCAGTCATTCATCCAGCAGCCCGTTGTGTTTTTTAATTAAAATGTGTTTAAAGTTCACAGGAAATTTGAAAATATCACTTGATAATTATGTGTTGAAAGATTGGAAAATTAATACCTGAACCACAACTATAAAGACTTAAAAAAAATGCAAACATGTTAAAAAGACTTAAATAAGTAATGCTTAGTCTGGTGGGGGCACAAGGTGGCCTACTAGGCTTATAGTACCCTGGGGGAAACCCTGGATCATCACAACAGTGCTTCTCATTACACCGTTAACTGTTCTAAGCGTTTAAGGCACCCACAAATATCTGCCACAGGAGGTTAAAGTATTCCTGAGACATGCATGAAAGCATCAGAGCAACTCTCCAGGTATGTTTTTGATGATGGAACAACATTATGATGTGATTATACAGCTCAAAAAAGTCAATTTTGCATAACATTCCTCTATCTCCCTTTAAGATTTTCAGTATCTCACTAGTTGTTCTTTTTTTTTGTTTGTTTGTTTGGTTGGTTTTTAGAAAAACATCATGCAACTGAGGTGCCAAATAGCAAAGCATCATAACTTCATTTTGTTAAAATCTCTGAATAAGCTGAAGTTTTCTACATTCATTTATTTTCAATTACTGAAACCATAGCAGTGTTAATTGTCAAGATAAATACACTAGATATGTCCTACAAATCTTACTACTCTTCTAAATAACAATACAGGGCATAATTTATAAAAACACCAACAAATAAATATATATATATATTCTTTTGAACACTAGTTAAATTTTATTCATCGCAGTTGATGCTTTGGAAATCTGAACAAAACATTCAAATTAACCGAAATTCCTAATTAAAAAAAAAAAAAAAACAGTTAATTGCCCTCCTGTTTCTGCTTATTAAAGTCTCGCAGGAGGGTTTAAACCAGAGTCGACCGCGATGCAGTCGAACCTGCTTGTTAACAACTGATTTATGGGCCGGGTCTTATTCCTCCAGTATTTCATTGATTTGTGGTAAATGCCCGACCTCCTGTTAATGTGTGAACGTAACAGCAGAAGTTGGGAGGATCAGATCGTCTTTTCACCTACGAGAATGGCTGCGTTGCCTTACTTTTGTGTGAATGAATTATTGCATTCACACAAAACTAAAGTTTTCCTTCGTGTCAGGGCATCTTGCAGTTTGCGTCTTCAAATTTCAGTCCCATAGTTTTTATTTTCTTTGTGTGTGTGTATATCGGTATGAAAAAAAAAAGAAAAGAATTATCCTTCCCATCGTTGCTGCTATCTCGGCATAAACTGAACGACAGGCGGAGAGGGACCTGCTGGGGTGTGCGATTGCTTGTAGAGGAGCGCCCGAGTGCTTGTCTGCTGAATTTGTTTGACTCGGGTAATTGAAAGTGTTTTAAACTATTATAGCAACTGGAGGGCTTGTTTAACTGTCGAGCTGCCAGTCAAGCGGGTGGGCCAAAAGCCTGGGCCCGTCAAGGCCTGTCAGTCAATGGAAACGAGAAGTGTCGGCTTAATGGATTTCTCCACACTGCTCCGTCGACGCGTCCAGCAGAGCCAGAAAAGAGGGGGAGGGATGAAGGGGAAAAAAAAAATAAAAAAATCAATGCATTGTCATCTTTGAGTGTGTGAGCTATCAAAAGACCAGGTGGATTGGAACTGTGTTTGCCTTGTGTCAGTGTTGTGGTGTAACATTTGGAGTGAGTGGGAGGAGTTGGGTTGAGGGCATCTGTGTGTGAACGCCGTGTCTGTATCACGAGGATGTGCAGAAGTTGCAGCTTTTTGATAGACAGATGTTTTCTGCTTGCCTCTGGGGGCTTTTGTTGTGATCTGAAGTGTAAGAGGGGTCACAGCTCCCTCAAAACAAATTGTGTTTATATTCCATAGCATCTCCCTGGATGAAAAAGCTCTTTCTTTATGTCTCCTTACTATTTTAACATTTTATTTTTGTTTGCTTTTTTTAATCACGGACCTCACATGATTATTTATGTTGCACAACCTGCAAATGTACAGATTCTGCTGGTTGCTGTTTTTATTTTAGCCATTTTTCTTATTATTCCACAGTGCATTGCTACTTTTAAAGATGCATGGATTACAGAAATAAACAGTTGCCTATTGCAAACTGATAACTCATAAATATAAAAGTTATTGATTAAGCAAGATGTTCAAACAATTCTTCACTTCTCTTGTGGACACTTAAACTGAGGGTTTTCTAATTGAGTCAGATCGTTTCCAACATTTAGATTTTTGTAGAGCATTTTAATTATAATTTATTATAATTTTTGTTTTTCACTGAGAAAAATAAATTCCTTGTTTGAATGAAATTACTATTGCCCAAGTAAATTGCACACTTAGTTTAGCCAATATGTGTGCCTAAACTATCTGAAATAACGTCTGCCAAAAATAAAGAATTGAATAGAATGGGCCGTGATTATAATACAACAATGTACTGGTCAGAGATTTTTACCCAATTTCTGATTGATGATTTAATTTTCTTTCTTTTGTAAATCCAGCTCACTGACACTGATATTGGCTTGTTTGAATCTTTCTTTTAGAGCTGTATCTACAATGAACTACAAAGGAGAGCTGTTCAGAGTGCTGTATTTTCCACCAGGAACTGGAACATGCAGCAAACACTACCACAAGGTGGCGGTTATGCACCAAAGTCATCACCACAAGGTGGGGGATTTTAGTTTTTGGAGCTGAACGTTTAACGAAGACACCTGAACCTGAATTATTACAGGTACGTCTTTATTTTATAGCCGTTTCCCAGTGTCTTAATTGAACACGATTGACTGCTCCTAAAGGACGATGATTCCAAATGCACATCAAAGCTTCTTTGCACATTTCCTAGAGTTTATTTAAACTGATTGATCTGATGGCATGGAATGGATTTCCAAGCACAGTATGTAAAGTTTGAGTTTTGGACTTTTGGAATACCATTTCAGAAGCTTAAAGTTGTCTGATTGAAAATGCATCAGTACACTTTTCAGCTTTACGGTTGTGTGCAAACTAGAAATGTAGACAAGGGTAAATACAAATATGATAAATTATTCAGATTGGCACCTCTTTTTCTAATATGTTTAGCACTTGTGTATTTTGGCTTAATTATTTTTTTAACAAATATTTACTTGGACTCCCCTGTACCTTTGCAATATTTCTATATAAAACTAGATGCATAAGTTTGATTTATTATTTCTGAAAGCGTATGTCTTATTATTATGAAGATATAAATAAGACAGCCTAGTTTGTAATTGTAAAAATAATAAATGTTTTATTTAAAGCATTATTGCTCATAAGAAAACTATTGTGAAAAGAAACTACTTATAAAAGATCCACAAGTTTTCTTTACAGTGTAATTCTCTCTCCTCTGAACTGGTGCATGTAAGAAACGAAATGTTTGTGGACGGAGGGACATGCTTTCTTCTGTTAACGGTATTACTAGTGGGAACAACACCACAGACATTTTCACACACACACAGACACCTCAGGTATTTTTATTCCATCGCGGTCTTGGTCACAGCTAAAGGCTGTCGGGGCACCTATACCAGAGCTCCGTCTCAGTACTGTACCACCTCGCGTGATTAATGACCAGCAGATTCGACTCCAGCGCCATCATTTTTAAACGCCCCGTCTTTTATCTCCTCCAGATGATCATGTTAACCCACCGCCAAAGACTAACACAAGGCAGAGGGGAGATGTCTGCTCTGAGCTAAACCAGACTCCCCTCTGAAAGGCATCAAATCATTTCACCAAGTCGAGAGCGAGAAAAGCGGTAATTACTCATAATTGGGGGGCTTCAGAATTTTCTCACTCGTCCTTCTTTTGCTAAATTAGATGATTTCCTTTCTTTTCCTCTGGAGGGATGATGGATACCTCAGAACCTCAAGGAGAGGTGCAGAACAAAATTGAAAACAGTTTTTGTGGCATTCAAGTTGTATTTTTAGTTTTCTCCTTCACGTGCAATAAGCCCACAAAGGCCTGATTTGCTTAAATGTTAAATATTGATGTGCTGTGATTTATTTCTGTAGATTGCACACATGTTCAGTTTTACATTTCTGTCTCCATCTGTTAAGTATATAGGCACAACCTAATGTAAAAGTATTACTTTAATAATTGGATTCCACTAAATAACCTAAAATACGTTTCCAGCTTAAAAGGAAAAAAAAAAAAAAAACATGTTAGTGGAAAGGATAAAATAATTTGTGCATAATAAGAGCATCTTCACTAATTGATGAACCAGATCTCATCCTGCATGTTATGGTTGTTGTGAGCTTTTAATTATAATAAGTCAAACACCTTATACCACACACAGATGGTCTGAAATTTGCAATGCATAAAATGTACATAAACATTTGTTATTACTGTGAGCACTGCTGTGTGTTTTTTTTTAACACGTGCATAAACAATCAAATGATTTAATATCGCTCCGAGAGGAAGGGTGCTCTTGTCTCGCTAGCACACAAGTAACTGCTGTGTTGCTCATCTTCCTGTTTAGACAAAAATGAAGGAAAGAAAAATAAAATCAAGGAGGGAAGACAGAAAAATGTTTGACACAGCGCTGGAGGAGTGTTTCCTCCTTGTCTGAATGAATCAAGTGTCTCAGCAGTATTTAAATTATGCTGTAGTATGGAGTTGTTGGTACATGTGTGTGTCCACATGTTTCTCACACACACACACACACACACACACACACACACACACACACACACACACACACACTGTGAGGACTTGTGAACAACTGACCTTGTAATGTTTTCAAATTGTGGAGCTGAATGTAGGCAGACGGTGTTTTGCACTGGTGTGAAACTAATGGCAAAGAACATGGAGGTTCTGAACTGAGTAATCCAATTTGACCTTGTCTACGAGTCGGCGGTCCGGTGAATAGCATTCGTCTGAGCGCGGCACTGGCAGAACTCGTGACCCACTTTTAGGGTCTCGGTTCATCAGTTTAAAAACATAGCTCGAAGACATTCACCCCGATTTTATTTTTGTCAATATTTTATTTTTAATGCTCTTCATTTTACCGTTTAAATCTTGTATAAGAATTGTAGTTTTTCTTCCACTACACACTGTAGGGGTGGGGGCGAAGGTGGGATTTTTGCAAGCCATAATTTGTTTCCAACACACTTATGATGACCCACCAGGCCCAATCTGGTTCAGGCTGAACAGACCACAGCATTTGTAAAGTAGCAGAAATGCATAAAAAAAACATAAAGGGGGGAAAAAAACTAAACTGGTTTTTGTTAAATGGTAAACTGATGTGTATGTGTGTATGTGTGTGTGTATATATATATATATATGTGTGTGTGTGTACAGCTCTGGAAAAATTAAGAGCCCACTGCACTGAACCCCATTGAAAACCTCCAGATTTTTCCACCAAATATTGATTTCTGAACTCTTCCTGAGTTAAAACATTAGTTTTGCTGTTTCTAAATGAATATCAACTTGCTTTCTCTGCATTGTTTGAGGTCTGAAAGCACTGCATCTTTTCAGTTACTTTGACCATTTCTCATTCCCTGCCAATAAATACTAAATTTTTGCTTGGAATTTCGAAGACATGTTGTCAGTAGTTCATAGAATAAACTATTCTATGAACTACTGAATAGAATAGTTTCTATTCAGTAGAAACTACTGAATAGAAATGTTAAAAATCTGTTAACATTTTTTAACAGATAAAATGTTAATTTTATCTGTAAAGAGTAAAATCAGAGAAACGGATCATTTTAAATGGTCTCTTATTTTTTTCCAGAGTTGTGTGTGTGTGTATATATATATATATATCTCACGGTATGTGCAAATAATTTGCAGAAGGCTGAAGATCTCGTAATCTAACAAAGTCTGGGAGCGAGGCTGGGCTGCATTTGAGTGCTTTGGGACAGGTAAAGGGCCTACATCAGTACTGGATGTTTGTTGACTAGAGTAAGAACAACTTTTGCATTTAGGTCAGAGAAATTAATCTTTTGGCTGCTTTTACAAAAAAAAAAAAAAAATTGGTGGTTGATCGAACTTTGCTTACACCAAGAAAGTAATTCTGTGTTTCTATTAATTTCTTCCTCTGCTGACAACGTTTCACTGGAATCTGGCGTCGGCTCAGGCATCCTGTTTGTCCTGACAGTTTGTAGAAATGAAACACTGTTCTCCTGTTTAAATTGCAAACCCATCGCTGCGATTTCTGGGTTGGTCAAATTTACCCACAACGTTCTACATATACCCACATTTCTGGTTTTATTGTAAGATACTCTATATATGTCTGGTCCTGTGTTTTGTGACCGTGAGGAGGAGGGTAAGAGGGTGTGGGCACAGACAAATGCAGGAGGAATAACACTGGGTGAGGTGTTATTATTACAAGACTGATTTAGGTCTATTATGGAGAAGCTCTGCGGGGGCTTCAACGCTAACAGACCTAACAAAAATACTCCCCGCTTATGTCATTGGCATGGGTATAACATGCGGGAATATGAAAGGCACAGATATAATTTAGGAGTTTTGGAGGGCTATAGACTGAGGAAGGAGGGGTGTGAGGTTGTGTGACCCCGACTAAATCATTTGTGACGGAGCCCAAACTCGGCCGAGGTGTGTTTCTTGACACGGTGTGATGGGGCACGCCCCAATGCATTACTGTCCGCCAGGGCTTTGTGTGTGCAGACGCCCGTATGTGTCTGCGCGTGCAGGCGAGCATGTGTGTTTTCATATGCATCTGGGCCCTCTTTACTGCGATGTTGTGAGCAGCCAATCATTTCTTCCAGTCTAATTAGCACACATGTAAATTCAAGGGAACCGTGGAGCACATTGGGGACGAACAACTGCAACGCGGCAACTGTTCTTGATGTCAAGGGGTGACTGTGTGTGTGTGTGTGGTTCATTAAGTATCCATATGGTGATATGAGAGTTTGAGTGCTGCTGACCAAGAATGACCATTCCTGTTTGCCCAAGTAAGACCGCCTGCTGTGGGTAGCCATTTGACCATCATCCTTTTTTTTTAGGCTATGTATTTAAATACAGACTTCAATTTGTCCTTTTTTTTACTGTCCCTACTCTAGATTGCACAATTGGCCCCCTTTAGAGATTCACTCACCGGGATGTGGTGGGTGCACATCACACCTGATGCAACGAGACGTTGTTTCCTTGCTGGCTGCCGGCAAGAGAGAGTAGAGAGAGGATTGGAGAGAGGCCGCTGGATCGGAGGATGTAACGACAGGAAGAATAAACACATGAATAAATAACAGCAAAAGGCAAACCGAGCACAGCCATCATTCCGATTTGGCCGAGCCTCGTCGCCCTGCTCACTCGGTCACTCACAGCTGGGAAATTCATGCTAACTTGGTTTAGTTTAGCAGAGGATGGTAGGGAAACGTCTCAACGTTGGGCACACCTCGATGTCGGTAGTCACCAACTGCAAGTGGCAGATTTCAGCGTTCTGATTGCGTTTTCTCCCCTTTCCCCATTTGCATGCTTTTATGCATAGATCATGTTTAGTTAGAGTTAAAATAAAAAAGACTACTACTCCCTACTACTAATTTTGAATTGGTCCACATATTGTTTTGTGTTTTCTATTTTTTATGCTCGTCGTTTTTATCACAAGATTTAGTGCCACAAGATCTCATTACATCCAGATCTTTCACTACTGAAAAGTTTTATTTCCATTACTTAACCTTGAAACTTCACTTTTTTCCCCCTTTGGTCAGCAGAAAAAAAGAGGATTAGCACAGATGAGATGGAAATGAAAGGTGCTTTGCGATG